AGCAGTCACCAGCCACATCGACCTGATCAGTGTTTGATTGTTGTGTCTTGTTGCTTTTCTTCTTTTGTCTCTCCTCTATCCACTCACCCCAACCGGTCGAGGCAGAAGGCCGCCCACCAAGAGCCGGGGTCTGTCGGAGGTTTCTTCCGTTAAAGGGAGTTTTTCCTCCCCACTGTCACCAAGTGCTTGCTCAAGGGGGATTTGTTGGGTTTTCCCTATGTAATAATATTGATAACAGTAAGGTCTAGACCTTAGTTTGTAAAGTGTCCTGAGATGACTTTTGTTGTGATTTGGCACTATACAAATAAAATTTGATTTGATTTGATTTGATGAATTGGAAAAGTCTGAAGAAGTTTTGGAGGAATCTGGAGATTTCTCCATCCAGAGAACGACTTCATTTGGCCACAGCTAAAACGAGCTGCGTTACAATAGTACATTACTAATGCAACCTTTTGTCATTCAAATTCAGTTACTAAACTTGAAATTGTTAAAAGTCCACTTTGTGGACAAATGTACACAGTGACTGTATATTGACATCAGTGTTCATTCTTCTTTGGGCAAACCCTGGAACATGTTCTGTGCTAGTCATGATGGGGCAGCTAGGTTTGGACTAATAATAAGGCTAGTTTACTGTGCACATACTAAAGTATGTACACGGGCATGGCAGGGTGCTGGGAAAGGCAGAATTATTCATCTATTCAAGGCCAAGGGATCAAATATATAAGAACTAATATGATTATAAAATATATTTTTACATCTTACAGCCCGTATTTGTAGATTGTCCACAAACCAAAGTTAATGTCTTTGGCTAAACACTCCCACTGAGTTAGTATCAAACTAACATATTCTGCTTCTTGCATGGCCGTTAACACACTCACACACGATTTAGAAAAAGAAATCCTCAGATATTTTGACAAGTCCAATGACCTGAAACCCATCTTCAGAATCTTAAGACTAAATGGACGTTCTTATATTTAACAAAATTGCATTGAACAGTTTAATTATATGACACATCACATTAATCTGACCACTTCTTTCAGTGGTGCCTGTAATCATATGCTGAGTTTAGCAGCCCCTGTGACACAGAACAGACACCAGTGTAGCCCCAGTGAGACCCACTGCAGATTTTGAAAAAGAATAACAACCCCAGTTTCATCACTGAAACCCTGACAGGCTGGACAAAAGCCTTGTTTTGTAACTACACACTGAACGTCATGATATGCAGCAGGTCTAGGTTGTGTTCTGTGTGTGTTACCACTTCGGATTTTCACAAATGTCAGGATCAAAAACATAAAGGAATACTTGTGTGGAAAGCATTATTTGATTTGGTTAGACAGAGCTCGATGAGATGATTAAGCACGTTCATATCTGTCAGTTAAATGTGAGCCTGTGGCCAGCAGCTGGTTAGTTTAGCTTATCATAAAGACTGGAAAGGGGGAGAAAGTTTGCCTAGCTCTGTCCAAAGATAAATGAAATCCACCAGTATCACTGATGTGCACAAGCAGTGGGCCAGACAACGTGGAAGCAAACCTGGAGGGTACAAATCATTTCTAATGACTGTCCAAGTGCCAGCAGACTCCCAGTCTTTCCAGCAAAGAGAGTCTGACTACCAGCGTCTTCTCCCCGAGCCACACCGGGTGGTGGTCAGTCAGTCTCCCCCATGTTTTGCCTGCTATGTCACACACTACTTGGCCACAGTCAGGAGGAGGAGAGGCTTCTTTTAAAGCTCAGTAATTAGCACATTGTTTGTTTATTCCAGGCAAAAACTGAAGTGTAAAAACAACAAGTTGTAGCTTTACTGGGCGTTATGTTCCAGAGAATTTCTAGCTGGTTTAGCCAAGCTAGAAAACTCTGCTAAACTGTCTCTCGGCTGTGGCTTCGTATTTAATCTACAGACTCGATAGTGTCTCTCACTGAGAAAAGTCATAAGGATATTTTCCAAAACTGTCAAACTCTTCCTTAAAAGATCATGTTTAGTAAATTATAATGTATGAAATATTGCACAACAGGCCAAACTTCATTTTCAAACAGCTGTAACCACTAAACGCAGCAGGATACTAGAAACCCACTGTAAACAGTGCTGCATGGGAACCTCTCTACAGCGTCTCATCTATTTGCACCACAAGTTTGTCTCATGGAGATTAAAATGGTAAACCACCCAGGAGAAAGTGGAGGCTAAAAACAAATGTGGTAAAATAGCGATTTAGAGGCTGTTTGAACTTAAAGGTGCAGCGAGCCCAAAGTGAGCAGAGTCAACTTTACGATTTTATGGCACAGAGACAGTAAACAAGAGACGGAGATGGGGACACTTTTCCACAAGGCGACACAGCTGATGACGTGATATTTTGTAGCAGGCACAGACAGTCTGGTGTGTGAAGAATCCAGTCCGTCCAGTGAGTCTGTTAACACTGCACAGTTTGAAGCCCGGGCAGCTCTTCAGTGACTTTTTACAAACCCGTAGGTTCTTATAGGACACTGGTGCTGGTTTTAACACAGTTCAGACTGAATCAGTTTCTCCAGCCTTGGTAGAAGTGCCACCAGTTCTGTTCACTTCAGACTTGCAGGGGAAACGTGATGTTAATTTTCTTCCCAATGTTTTCTTTGGACACATCTAACCGATTACCAGGTCTCCCATTGTTCCAGGCGCAGAAATTCCAATCATACAGTAAATAACGTGACTGACATCCAGATTCACTGGAAATGCAGTGGGAGGCAAATTTAATTTTATTGTGTTTTTGCAAGAGAAGTTTCATTAAAGCTCAGATTTTATTTTCTGAGTATGTGCGTTCCCTTGGTCTGTGTGATGTAAATTTTCTCATCAGCCACTGATGAGAAGCACTGATTTATGACAGTATGGATCAGTGTGAAAGGGACAGTGCTGCTAAACCCACTGAGAATCAGCACCAAACCTGCAGCTTTGTGCAATTTTTACTCTTTTAGCTTTTTTTTCTTCAGGTGCATATGTACCGTGTGGTTGAGTCCAGTGGGTCTCACCCTCCTGTCCATATAACACCATTGGCAGCGTTGAAGGCTGAATGTTCGGTTGTCTGACTCTAACTGTTGTTCTCAACACTCAGTGAGCCTGATTAAATAAAATCATTCAGATAGCCAATGAGCTAACTAGCCTCTGAGAGTTAGCTAGCAAAGAGCTATCCCACTAGCAGTAAGCTAATCAGCCAGGGAGCTTATACTGTATTCATGAAGTATCAGCCCAATAGAAATCAAGCACCCCTGATGGTGACCCCAGAGAGCTTATGCCTTATTCCAAAATGGTTAAATGATCTACTTTTGTTGTGTTATATATTTGTAACGGTTTGTTACCCAGTGAAACCAGACAGAACACAGTACTTAGTATCTATTATGTGAGCCGAGTGGATTGTACTTTTGTTTCTATAGAAGTAGCTGCCAGCAGCTGTACATTTGAAGCCCTTCTACAGATTTCTCTCTCTCTATTTCTTCTCTAAGTCGTTTCATCAAGTGGGAAACAGATGCTGTAAAATTCCCTATATCTCAGTCATAATTAGTTGGAGGCCAACAGGAGTGTTGCTCCGACCCAGCTGCTCCTAATGACAACATGTACTGCAAGCTAACGTGGCAAGGAACTTATGAGAGAGCTTGTGAGCTAATTCACTAATGTCTGGTTAATGGTCTCCGGCTGAAGCGATTGGAGGGCTGAAAGAAGATGATGTCAAAAGTCAGTGTGAGACTATGAGGCTAGCCGCTATAGCAGTAGAACCACCCTGCTGTGAGTGGTGAACTTCAGAACATCCTCCCTGTCGCCTCAATGTTTCTTTTAACAATGGCAGCCGCTGTTTGGATTTTTGACTTGATTTTGCTCTTCAAAGGATTCCTGATTTCCTGTGGTAATGACTGGGAGTTAAACTGGTTGCGCTGGGCGCAACTATGATGCAGGTAGTTTGGCTCACGTAATTTCCACTGTGCATCTGATGCATGGTCATAAATGGTGTCAGCACACTTTCCATGCACGATGCCAAGAACTCATTTTAGTACTGAACTTTTCACCACACAAACAACCTTTTATGAGTCTGGGCCTGAGTGGCAGACTGGACGTTCATTCAGCAGTAACTGACAGTATAGTAGGATTGTGTGTCGGAGGTTTTCCCTTCAGACGGTAGTGACCGACAACAGAGGGCTGGGACAGAGCTGACTGTCGCTCTCCACTCGTGTCCCATGAGTCAGCAGCTCCTCCACCGTCGTCCAGTCGTCCAGCAGCTTGCTGTTCCTCAGTCGATTTTGTTTCATGTGGCTCAGCTCCAGCACCATCTGAGACGACAGAGACCCCTGACCTCCCCCGACTGGCTCCTCCCCTCCCCCTCTTCGTTCTCTGTGTTGCCGTGACAGCGCCAGGTGACGTCTCCTTTCTGTTCGGCTCCAGTATCGCCCCGCCCATCGGCCATCCTCCCCTTCATTGTCCCCTGCCCTCTCCCCCTCTCCTCGCACCTCCTCATCTGTCGTGACTTCGCTGCGCTCCCTGGCCAATCGGTAAGCTCGGGCTCTGAGCAGCTGGTTCCGGACTGACTTCTGATTGGACAGTCTGGAGCGTGGAGAGGGTGGAGAGCGAGGGCTAGGTTGCGGGGCTCCCAGTGTGCTGTAGAAAGGAACAGAGGGACTCTTAATGTTTCCAGTGCGATCCCCAAGAGTCTGAAAGCCAAGCCAGTCCGACACACCACTGGAGCCAGCTCCAGGACTCTTGGACAGGGAGTCCTCCTCTCTGCTCCAGTTTGTGCCCTGGCTGTTTCTCATTGTGCTCTGATGACTGGTCAGACTGGTTCTGTCTAAGCTGAGCTGGCTGGTGGGGTGACTGTTGCTGGGATAACTGGCCCTGCTCCTTGGCCCCAGTGGGTTGCTGGCAGTTCCTGGATGGCTGTTCTGGGGTTTGTGTTTCAGAATGTTTTGATCGCTCATGTTGGGATGGCTGGCCCTACGGCGGTGCTGGCCTTCGCTCAGATCTGTGATTGTTCGACTCCGTCCTGGAGCCACTATCAACCCCCCTCCTCCGTGCTGCTGCTCCAGCCATAGCGCCCTCCGCTGACAGGGCTCAGTGCGACAACCTGCAGACAGAGAGAAGTAATCAGGCACAAAGTGTTATCAATACACATTTCTGCCTTCAGCCATGGTAGCAGGAAGCTCTTGCTGTCGTGTTGGTATAATTTTGACCCTAACACTCTGTGGCTCTCCTTTAGGAGTTCCCTGTGATTACAGACTACATCAGTTCCAGGCTCTCCAGATTTGCTCCATGTCATTCTCCTCATTCTCAAGGAAGTGGTTCCATGTCTACAATGTTTTCCTTCTCTGACAAATTGTACATGCCCTAACCCTACAGGCTGACAATGCTATCGTCATGACACCTGCACCAACATACCTTTAAGTATCTTCCCTAACACTCATATACTGTAAGTGAGTGCTCTAACATTCAGACCACTCAGTTTGGGTTTTAGGGACAAACAATCAGATCAGTTGGAATCTGACTGTTTTTCTATGGCATCAGATGAATAGTTTAAGGAAATAGCTGAGCTTTCTTGAGGTTTGTTTGCTTGTTGTTCTTAACCTCCAGTAAGTCCAATCTATAGCACTTTGGAAATACCACAACCTGGATGACAGAGAATCTCCACAGATAAATGATTGAGTTCAACTCACCAGTCGAAGGGGAGGGTGGCGACTGATGGCGGGGTAAGGTGGGACTTCTCTCTGCTCTGTGAAAATGAACTGTTGTGGTCGTGCTGTTACCCACAGTGCAGCGGGAAGCCTGTGGCGCTCCGGGGTGGCGAATGGGAGTTGTCTCTGGGATGGACTCTAAATCCCACCGTCCTCTCTGCTCTCGAGGAGAGTGGCCTGAGCGAAGATGGTGAGCTTGCCGGTGGCTTCCTTGAATTTTGTGCAGTCGTCTGTGGTCGCCGGTGCTGACACTGTGGAAGCCAGAGTCACTGGGTTCAGAGGAGATCAGGGACTCAGAGGAAGAGGAGGAGCCTTGGGAGGAAGGGGTGTGGCCTGGCAGCGAAGACATGGCGTCTGTCTCGGCTTCAGAGAGTGCCACCTGGTGGTGAGGACTATCAGGGCCACATCCCAGTCCGCTGTCGAGCTCACTGAGGGGAAGGTAACCAAACGGTCGGTCCAACCGCCAAGGAGGACGATAGTCGGTCTAATGGGAAAGAGAAAGTTTGAACTGAAAAGTGCATTATTTTACAATACAAAGTACATCACATCAGTGTACATGATACATTTACCAGGATTTTAAAAACTACATAAATAGCAAAGTTGTTAGAAAGGTGGCATAAGACCCCAGACATGGTCCAGGCACATACATGACTTCCAGCTATGCAAGATCTGTTTGATGTGTCACCTGCAAAACCTTTATACAGTGAGCTGCACTCTGAGTGCTGAGCACAGGAGGCACTATAGCATGAAACAACAACAAGAAGTTGACTCCTTTTGCGGCCAAAGTCAGAGTGACTGAGGGGCAGAAAGAGGGCTCAGAGGTTGTTGTGAGAAACACAATGGCTGTGATGCAAACCACTGAAGTCACCTGTCTGGGGAAATTCTTAGGCTCTGTCTCTTTTGTAGCGTAGCAGCCAATCAGACAGCTCTCTGAGTTGGGCTGGTAGGGCAACATTTCTGGACTCTAGAACAGAACAAATACTAATGAGTGTAAATCCATTGCTTTTGTACAATGCAATAGTAATCAATGAACACAAGTTCCTAACAAAAAAGAAAATGAAAACATAGTAAATGACCTGGTAGTCCAGCCTGTCCAGGTGGTCCAGGCTGTAGGACACGCTGGGCAGGTAGCTGGGACCCAGGTGCTGGTCATGTGATGGTCTGGCCAGGTAGCTACTGGCTGGATAGACATCAGCTGACATCATCATGCCACGGTTTGTGGGGTATGGGTCAGGTGACACAGTCAGGTGACCATAGTAAGGCCTGTGCGGAGGAAGCAGTCAGATCATGGGGTGTTTTATAAGGAGGTGATGACTTCATGTCCATTCATATGTTTTTCACACCATCACCTAGTTTTTATTCACTGGTGAAAAATGTGATCATAGTTCTCATTTTCAAATATTACTTTTTGTTTAGTTTTAGTCTTGTTTTCATGAAAAATGAATATTTCTCATTATAGATTTTGGCAGTGAAATGAAAACTTATTCATGTCTTTTCTCTCTCAGTCTGTGATCCCAGGGCTCTTCTGGACACGACTCCTCACACCTTCCTGTCTCCAGATGAGTTTAGGGTCACGTATTGTAAAACCGTGTCGTAATAAGAGATGCCCTGGAAGGTGTGATGTGTTTTGGGTGTTGCTGATCAAAGGTCCTCATAGACTTGTGTTTATAGGGAAGTGTTGGTCCTAGAACTGTGGTACGTAGCCCTTTGTCTGTCGGCCCTGTTGCTACTCTAGGCTTCATAATCACTAGTGGTGTGTGGATCAATCCTGAAATGCTGATATTTCCGATCCCAATATTTCCTGTTCTAGGATCAGTTCGCACATTAAAACATTGATATCTAAAATACATAAGCTAATTCAGAGTAAATGTATATTTTTGATTCAACAGGGGACACAGTACCTATGCTATCCAGGACAGTCTAAATGATGCCCTGTTCATGGGAACGACTTGTCCTTCCGCCTGTTCTAGTCATATGCAAACGACAGCCCAGTAAATGCATGAGCCACTGCAGAATAAGGAAAACTGTGGATGGGATGAGTGGATGTCATATGCAGTTGCTGGGTGGAGGGATGTAAACAGCAACCAAGATGTCATGTAAAGTGTCCCTGTATGTATGAAGTGTGGACATCGTCGCACCGCCAACAGTTCAGTGTCTGGGCTGTATGTCCGTCCACAGTCTGTGAGCAGGGTGGCACCATTTGCTCTTAAAAAAAAAGTGGCAAGCCCTTAAAGATTCGTCTTATGTCGCCTCTCCTCCATCAGCCTCTGTTTCATCTGGTTTTTCACTATTTGTGACAGTTGTTAGGGTGATTTTTATTTTATGCACTTAAGAATGGTTTTATTTTATAGCACACATAAGTTTACATACTTATATGTCACAGTTATGTTTATATAGTTATGAATATCACCCTATGTGTTCACTGAACCACTGGTCGTGTGAGTCACTGAAACACTAATGCAACATCATAAGTCTTGTCCACTAAATTACTGAATTTCATTAGATTTATGGCTGTAGCTAAGGGGGCTCATAGTTACTTATCGTTCCTCTGGACTGGTGGACCCAAAGGAGTCTTGGTACGGTAAGGCTCCAAGTTTATTAAAATAGATTAGACGTAGATGAGAAAGCTTCAAAGGGAGAACAGTTATGCACACACACACACGCAGGCAAAACAGTTTTAATTAAGTGAAAACAAAGGAAGAAGTGAGTGTGTATGTAGGAATTACAGTAGTATAGGTATTCTTCCCCTTCCTAGGGCGCTGTCCACGGTGATTGGAGAAGAGAGGACGGACGGACTGAAGGACCAATAACGGGAGAGTTAAGTCTAAACCACGGCTTCTCCCCAACAGTTTTAGACCAATTAGATAGTAGTACCTTTTTATACAAATATTGTATACCACTAAGTTGAGGTCAGTCTTTTCTGTTTATCCTAAACAGTGAAGATCCATGTGCACATGCTAATTTTGATACGTTAATGCATAATAAATTTCACACTGTGAAATATATATATCCTCTTATTAGTCTTCTCTTTTCAATTTAAAAAAGAACACGCCTCACACAGTATTAGTATCACTTATACCAGCCTGGTTTTTACTTGGTATTGGATGAGGAAGGAAATGGTATTGCACATCACTCATACTCACATAAAATACAGGATGACCCCGGTGACATGATCCAAACCCCATCACTTCCAGTCTTTTACCCCAGGCCTTGTCCTTCCAGCGGCACCTACCCTGCACTGTAGCCATCTCCCCGGCCTTCCTCTCCCTCCATCAGTCCCATGGCTCTCAGGGTCTCCCAGTGTCTTTCTGTCGGGGCATTGCACTCAATTACACAATGCGACTGCCGCCTCCTGTGACCACGTCCCCCTCTCCCTTCCACCTGCACAGCGATTGGCTGGCCGTACTCGTCCACAAAGTGCAGCTCGTCCCGGTGGTGGTGCTGAGAAGGGTCATGGGTCTTGACCTGAAGACAGGGAGCACTACATGTCAGGGCTTGTGCTGAACTCAGCACAGTGAATAAAAGGTAACTAAACAAACACTTTATTGCAAAGTTAAAAAAATATTCACTGTTCACACATTACAGACATGAAGCACTGTAATAGTTGCATTTGGTTCTTTTTTTAACTTTTGAGGATGGGTTGGTAGCAGGTTGGTTTAGAGATCTGACATACTACAAATTACCCTGCTTCTGCTGTGTAACATATTTTATTAAGGACCGAGGCAGCATAGCTGCTCAGTGCCACAGTGGGAGTTGGACCTCCAACACAAGGTCAGTGAGGTTTTTTTCATTGGATTTTTTTATATACACAACTACAATTGTATTACATAACGTGGCATATGATTCATTAAAGGATTTTTTAAAATCTGACATTTAGCATAAGTAGGAGACCAGGCAAGAAGAGCCTGCAGGATTGTGTTTGAGATAAACAGCCGCTCATTTCTGTGGTTATTTCCTCTCCCTCTGGCCGAAGGTGTGTTAATTAGAGAAACAGCTGCTGTAGTGTTGGATGTCTGCAGACCTTTGAAACATTCTTTAACTACAAAACCTTAGGGCAGAACACATTACAAACAGTGACAACATCAACATCACACAGATAATGAAGAAAAAAAACAGATCAAATGAGTTCTTCCCAGAAGGCTTTGCAGACAAAGCTTTAGTTTAGAAGCATTCAAATCTGGATAAATATGTTAATGATATATTTTCTCACAACACCCCCCTCCATGACCCTCTGCTGCCTACAGCCTCCTGTTGTTATTCCAGCTTCTCCACCCTGTGTTGTCAAAGTACGGTCTGTAAATCAGCCCCGCCTGCCGCCTAGCCAAGGTTAGAAGAAGGGTTTTTCCAGCCAGTAGTCATGTCAAACAGCCATGGAGGAGCTCTGGGCGGCTAATTGTAACTGATACTTCACCTCAGTCACCTACTAAATAAGTCAACACTTTTTCATAACTGCAAATTGATATTGGATTAGCATTTGTTGGATATGTGTAAAATTATGTGTGTTGATATGTCAACTGTCTTTACATGCTTGAAAGAATAAATCAATCAAATCCAATCAAATTATTGTGTATTATCTCACACATCAGAGAATTCAGGAAAGAATAGGGGATCTCAAATATCAAATGGAATTGTGTCACCATTTTGTCAACTTGAAATGTAAAGGGACAGCTCGCGCCCTGAAGGCCGCTCTGTCATGTCTGCTGACACCACTGTTGTTGTGCTGGATTGTGTGATAACATCACATGTGAAAGCTAAGGTGCAGTGACGTTAAGGAGACTCAGTCTTTACAGCAGCGTGATGTAGGTCAGGATTCAGCAGCACTCTGTAACCTCTGGACATGCACATTGTTTTTACACCCACAGTGCAAGGCCTGGAGCATGCCTACGCATACACACACACACACACACAGTACAAACACTGGCACAAAAATACAAACACACAACTGTGCATGTACATAAACAGTTCTTCCATGTGGGAACCTGCTTCAGTCAGACATGCAGAAGCGTGCACACTGCACACACAGAAGTCAGAGATTGAGAGTGATGTGTTGCCCTGGAGACGTGCTGCGCTCCACTGCACTTGGACAGTGACACAGACTGAGCTCGCTCTCCTCCTTCATCCATCCCTCTCTTTCTCCCAGTTGTTTTTTGAAGCTTTGACTCAATTTTCACCGAAACTCAAAGTGAAAAACTGCAACACTCTTCGCTCTCAGCACAAAATCACAGTTAGTACAAATCCAAGTGTCAAATGCAGCAAGTTGTGTAAAACTATCTGATGTTGAGATGCTGGATTTATTTCTGTGCATTTCTGTCACTGCAGTTTAAACAGAGGCTGGTCCCATCAAATCAAACAACACTTTGAGTGGTGTACAGTAATGTTCAGTGAACATTCAGACACAGTGAAGCATCACTTCCCTGTGTCGCCATCCAAATGTAGCATAGCTCAACTGAACGTAGAGAAAATCTGAAGAGAACATGTTTCCATCCACTACTGTTATGGAAACGTTAGGAGCTGGTTAAAATTAAAGGAGTGTAAAAGATCCTCCTCCATGAAGGATTCCACCAGGATCCCAAAACCTGGTGTGCATCTCTAGCTAGTATCCTCCTGATGGCCAATCAGCTGCAGTCGCTGATGTAGCAGCTTGTTGTTGTGTCCGTGATTCCTCTCTGCCTGGGCCTCTGTGTTTATCTTTCTCTCTCGCCTCTATGCAAATGGATATGTTACATATACTGTACAGATGGCGCCAGCTGAGAGCAGACTCCTGACTGACTGGGTGGAAGTCCAGCCAGCAGGGTCACTGATCAATCAGTTGATCACTGTCCTGATGATCTGATTGATCTTATTCCCAGAATGTCAGACACTGGGATCTCTGTGCTGCGTGGAGTCACCTGAGAAGGTTTTATTTCCTTGCAACACAGCATCGGTGGACAAAATGTTCCGACGTGCATGGCAGGACAATTCGTGTTCAGCCTTCAGAGATGAGCACGTGACAGAAACGTTGGTCTTGCTGTCTCTGTTGCACATTGTTCAGCCCTGCGTGTCTGTGTCAAGCCCTCTGATGACTGAGGCGTTCACCCAGTAGATGTGGTGCTAAATGAAAACATAGCTAAGCTGATCATCTCAAGGGGAAGAAACCTCAAATATCCACATGCAGCAATTACTGAGATGTGGCTCAGTGCTCCGACACACAGAGAGACATGAGGAGGAGCGCTTAGTAACCAGGACAAACAGGCAACAAACAAAGCCTTTCCAGGAAAAACTGCCAGTGACAGACAAATGTGTGGAAGTGAAGCTGGAACACTCGTCATAATGCGTCCAGGCTTTGTTCAGATAGAGCATAAAAACAAGTTTTGTTCTCTGCCTTCGCTTTTAATAGTGCTCCCTTTTATTTCCCCCAGTGAGTCACCAGTGGAACTCATGCACGGCAGGTTTTTGTGTCAGAGAAAATGATAATGCACTTTCGAATCAGGAGGTAGATGAATATCAGCCCTGTGGCCAGTGAAGACAGCTGCAACATGTCACAACACATGTTCATATTTACCGTTTAAAAGAGAAGTCGCAACTAAATCTTGGCCTGTATTTTTTATTTTTTAACAAAAGTGCTCAACATTTTTGGCAAAAAAACAAAAATAAATGAGGTTAAGTTGTAACAGACACATGTTCCTGCCTCAGTACAGACTGGAGACAGACAGGAAGTTCAGCATGAATGAGCTGTGCTGTCAGAG